AGGAGAGCAAAAGAAAGAAGAGGAATGTTCAACTGTTGTTTGTGAGTCAAATCACGGTGAAGAAGAAGATGGAAGCAGCCTGGATCCATCGATGAAGAAGAAGAAGAAGACGAAAAAGAAAAAGAAAAATGCGTCAAAGATCATTCAAAGGACAATTGCAGTTAAGAGAATTACAGGGAGTTTTGATCAGCACATCAAAGAATCATCTCGTGGCCAAGACGATGGCGATGACAACCGTAATAATGGTCAGGATAAAAACCTTCGAGAAGAAGAACATGCAACCGGTATGAAGAATTTTGTTTGCTTTCTTACAGCGACCGAGAGTTGGAGAGTTTTAACAACTGCAGAGTTGGCTTGTTGGCTTGTTGGCTTGTTGGCTTGTTGGCTTGTTGGCTTGTTGGCTTGTTGGGCTTGTTTTTCTTCTTAGATTTTTCTAATTGATTGATTAATTCTTTAATCGGCAGAAACTTTGTTCAGTGAGCTTACAGTAGTAACCCCTGTTCCCTCGGACTTCCCTCCCGGTCAAGACCGCCACTTACTTTACCTGGCCCAATCGTCAAAGCAAAAGGATCAGAAATTTGAGAACACCGAGAGATGGAAATTAGCTGCCATAATCCTCGATCGTTTCTTCAGCATCCTTCTTGTCCTAAGCATCGTAGTGTCATTCTTAGCATGTTTCTTAAGTTCTCCAAGAGTGCGAATGGGTTTAATCTAGTTGGTATTCATTTGTATTCGGCCGCGTACTTTATAAATCTTGTTTCTCGTTGTTTAATATTTTCCAATTTCAGACTATTCTATTGAGCATAATCGTCTAATGCGCAACCGTTAAACAAAGAAATTATATACTCGGGAATGACACATGGTCTGAAATGGGAAAACATTTCAACACGACGAATCGAATTAGTAAAGTCTACTCACTAGTCTATATTGGCACATATACTTTGGTTGCAAATCCTTTTTGCTTGACTCTTGTTAAGGTTTAATGAAGACTCTACAGGACTCAGAAAAACGGAGCCGGTTACTGATGAGTTGCTGTGATGCAAAGCATCAATTTCTTGAGGCTTTCATTTAGTTTGCTTGTGATACTCGTTGCTATTCGCTAACCAGTGGCACTATTATTAGCCACTTTCAAGGTTAAGGAAAAACCTGGGTCGAGTTGGCATTGTAGAGGGGCTGTYTTAGGGAACATACTTCCAAGATGGCGGCTACTTTGGCAGTCCAGATAATTTTTGTTTTATGTAAATACTGGTATATTCACTGATGTCAAATTTCATCCACGTGATCATATTGTATTTAAGTAGCAAATTATTCACTTTACCACTGATAGGTATGTTTATAAATGACAGTGTAATTTCTTTCGAGGTCCTTGGCAATCTATGAAGGGTATTTTGTCCAATAGTTAATCAGTGGCAAAAATGTAACGTCATGTGAATTAACGTGCATGAATCGAAATGAAAGTCATGTTATACTGGAATTTCTTATGTGCAACTGAGTGGTTAATGTAGCAGCAGAAACTCGTAACAGGGAAGGGGGGGGGGGTTGAAACATGTAGCATCTCTTTTGTCGATGCTCCGGATTATTCAACTTTTTTCTTGACATTTCTTTCCAGTAAATCACGTCTTCTTGCAACTTCAATATCTCTGCACCAAACTCATAATTCCAAATATGGCATCAAAACTCCTAATTTGCATATCTTTATATTCCGGAACATGGTTATAGTGTTACACTTTTCAACCCCCTTATGAGTTTCTGGTATCAGTAAAATAATTAATAAGAAAAACTAACGCAGATAGATTTCGACGTTTAGATGACATCCTGTCATCATTATCAAGAAACTAACTGAAAAAATATTTACATAAAGTAAGAAATAAAAATGTAAAATAATCAAAACAAAAAAGTAAAATGTTGTGTATATATAGTTTGAACATGGAACGAGGGCTATTATTATTTTTTCTCGCTCGCAAAACAAGGGAGTTTATTTCAGTATTTCTTGGTCTCTTGGTCTCTTGGTCTCTTGGTCTCTTGGTCTCTTGGTCTCTTGGTCTCTTGGTCTCTTGGTCTCTTGGTCTCTTGGAGAGATATCGAACTTGGTAAATTGTTGTCTAGCTTCGGGACAGACATTTTTTATTCTTTATGCCTCATTATATATACTGTCGTTTATCGAACTTGGCAAAGGTCTATAGTGTCTGGTAAATCTGTTAAATTTTCACAGTTTCGAACACTGAAAGTGAACTACTTCAATCGATATAATTCGCTAAAATTCTCCCAAAATCTAATATTCATAATATTGTTTTAAAGTCCTTTCCTCAAGACTGMCAAGTCCCTTTTCCTTTGAAATTCAAAAAAAATTATCAAGAAACGCCTTATTTTTTTAAATCCAAACCCTACGTTTTCGGTTGCTATTGGTAACAAGCCAATTACGAAAATATCTGTTTGTACGCTTTGGGATTGTTAGTTCATTTTAGTAATTTTTCTATTTTTGTTGTATCTGTTCTTCCGACGGTAGAAAAATCAAGAACGAGTTGAAATAATCGCTGCTCATTAGGAGCATTGTATCATTTGRAGAAGTGAGTATCCTTTGAAGTTCTCAGCGTATATGTGGTACAAAGCAATAGCACCCTCTGCGTAAGTCATGATGACGTCGATGGATTGCAAACTGCTCGTAGTTGGAGAGCGACACAGTTCTATTCTTCACGTAACGCGGAATCTCTGAGGAATAACTCTCTACAGATCGAWGTTTGGTTAAGTAAGGCAAAACGAACTTTCAATTCACTCAAAACAAAGCCAAAAGAATACGGTAAGAAAAGGTAAAAACAGTTTCATGTAGAAATGATAAAGTTCACTGGTCGATGCGTTTTGCAAGACTTTCGGAATATGCCCAATTGCCCAATTGCCCACCTTCTTGCAACTGCCGGAATCAAATATAACCAGTTGCTAAAGCTTGAAAATTCACATTTAACTATTTTTGGAAGATAACGAAGTAGTTTAAAATGATTTTATTCTTAGTTCCTTTCATTATCGTACTCGTTAAAATAATTGTGGCCTGGGATTTTATAGCGACTGTCAAAGGCGCCTTCACTTTGCTATCAGTTCTTAATTCTCCCCCGTCGAGCTGTGCCAAGCAGACTGCTGTATGTGTGGTGGTTCTAGCGACTAGCTCAGGATTTTTCGGAGAATCGACTGCCACTAATAAGTAAAAGTGCCTCTCTGSATTTTTCATGCATGCATTTTCTTTTTTGAAACAATGGCTCGCTGTGACTGGCTCTTGTTCTAAGTATTTATTTTGGCTCAAAACTTTATATACTTATTTTTATTACCTAAATTTGGGTTGATGGCTGGCTGAATACGCGCTGTGTTATCATTTCTGAACATATCCGTCATGGACGGAATGTATTCGAAAGCCAAATCATAATAAGTACGAATGAACGGGACAAGCGTCTTAACTTGAGGCCGACGTTCCATCGTTCTGACGAGGTTGCCGTGGTTTTGAAGTGAATTTTCTGTGGATGTATATGAAGCAGGTCTTTAAAGCCATCACAGACCATACTTGATGTACTTTAATATCATACCCTCTAAATTATCTCCCTTAGAAAAGCAAGCTCTCTTTTCAAAAAAGCAACAACTGCTTTCAATACGAAGAAAGAGAGTAATGCAAACAGTTCATTCTTACATTGACCAATTTTTTTGTTCCTTTTTCCTAGGATTTGACGACAGATTTTCTTGACCATTACCTGCAAAAATGCTCATTGTCAGCTTTGCTGTCATCGTCGTTGTTATGGCAATGGGTCTGCTTGGCAACACCGGCGTGCTGGTTGTCTCCATGGCTACGAGGTTCTTTAAGTCTCCACATGTCATTAACATGATCGTGTTTGACATTCTTTCTGTCATGATTGGTCCAGGAATGTCTTTTCTCGCCTTCTTCATTAAGCCCAATTGGTTCGCATCGAGCTCTAAATTCTGTAATATCTTAGGTTTCTTGCAGAATGTAACATTCTTTTGCTCCTTTTTTGGCTTGTTTTCTTTGGTGTGCTATAGTCGCCAGCTCCATCGATTCGTTCCTAGTGTCAAATTCCTTCACTCACTCATAATAGTTTCATGGGTTTGGTCAATAGCAATCGCATCTCCGCCACTGTTGGGATGGAGTTCATACTCATACCAGCCCCACACACAAACCTGTTTCTATTCAATTCAAAAAATGAATTCGGGATCTAGTTATTCCTATTTTGTCGCTGTTCTGTCATTAAGCTTTCACGGTGTGGCTGTTCTTTACACTTATTTGTTGATTAGGGCTCAAAAAGGTTACCCTATGAAACTCCAATGGCAAAGACACAAGAAGGAACTTCAACTCAACGATCCTGAGCGCACAACAATCGCTAGTTCTCAATCAGAGATGAGTGTTAATAACTCCATTGAGATTCTTCTTACTGCGCTTGCCAACACCAAGCTCCATTCGAAGATCGAAGAAGAAGCTGGTTCTTTTCACTCTAGAGTCGTCCACGAAATGGACAAAGTGGAGCCGCATCATTCTACTTTTAAAAGACCAACACATCCAAATGAAACTGAGACAGGAGAATTGTCTAAAGCTGATGAATCAAAGCTGGTGCTCTCACAGAATTCAGCTCAAGTCAGAGATGATCAACGCAGAAGCGAAGTGGTCATCGATCCTCTTCAAGATAGAGAGAAAATGTTAGGACGCCCACACACTGCAGCTTATACCATCTGTCTTAACGATACCAAGTTTCACACTAAAAAGCTGCATAAGTTCAAGGGAACAGTCTCCCTGGAAGAAGTCAGTGAAAAAGAAGATCTAATGAAGGCGCAGTTTATACGAATGTTACTTGTTATTAGCTGCGTTTCGCTGATTGGCTGGTGTCCATTTTACGCGGAGACAATATTAAACTYAATCAAYGTCAGTGCACCAAACTCACTTCGATTGGCTGCTTAYTGGATGCGTTTCTTAAGGCCAGCGTTGAGTCCTGTTTTGTACCCCGTTTGTTGCGATGAATACAAGCAAACTATTATCACGATTGCGCGCAAGATCAGGAAGGCTGTTTGTCCGTGTTTCGATGGTCAAGGCGGAAAGAGACACAGTTCTATAGAACTTGACAAGGTTAACTCAATTGATGAACTGYCCAGTTATAACAAGCAAGTCGTTTTAACAAAAATGGTTTTATTTCCTTCTTAGAAGTGAACTGAACTGCGAATGTGTTACTATAGACTTTCCTGATCATCGCCGCTGACCACTTACCAAATTCAAACATGCTTTAAGGACATCAGCAGGCATTGTTTGTGCGCATATGCTCCGCGCATATGGCATGACGGCTCGACCTGTRTCTAGCTCCGCCACGGCGCTCGCTACGTAAACGATTTCGATCGGCAACATCTTGAAACCAACATCGGTGACACCGCGGATTTCATGAATATTTCATTAATACGTTTCGTTGTCTTCACGACAATATCTTTCATTTAGTTTATCTACTTTCTTCAAAAAAAAAAAAAAAAAGACTTTGATGCTTGACTTATTATGGCTGCGCGCAAGCAATCTTTGACGAGTGAAAGGCTGCACCTTGATGTCATCTCACTCATCAGTGAATTCGGTAACACCCATTTTTTATTTGCGCATCAAACTCCTATGATCATCTTATTTCACCATGCGAAGTTTGAAAGGGAAAAACATGGTAAACGCATTTGCCCGCAAACGTCTTTCATTTATATTAATTGTAAATTAAGTTTAAGGGCGTTTTCGTCATTGCTTATCAACCAGTATTTATTTAATAAAACTTTTAAACATTCTTAATAACACCGCGTTGTTGATTATTTTTCTGTTTTGATTAAAACCATAACAACACGATTACCAAGTACACGTAGCAGCTAATCGTACAAGTAATGATAATGATGATGATGATAATGAAGAAGAAGATGATGTGAAGATGATGATGTTGATGATGATGAAGACGATGATGATGATGAAGATGATGGTGATGATGATGAAGAGGATGATGAAAAGGATGATGATGATGAAGAAGATGATGATGATGATAAAGATGATTATTTAAGCAATGTAATCAAATTATAATTAATCATTTAAATTATTTATATATAATTAAGAATATAAGCTATTATTTATTGTTCTAGTGTGCGCGTTAGAATTTTTCAATATTTCAAAGCCGTTTGTCATTTTTTATATGACCGTTTGAAATTTGTCATTTTTTAATATGGCAAAATTGTGTGGCTTTTTTCTTCATCAAACTAAAAAACATGTTTAGAGTTTTCGAGCTGTGAGGCGTATTTCCAGGTGTAACTGCTCACAAAAACCACTGAAACAAATCGAAAAAAGTTCTCAATTACTTAACCTTCACTTGGAATAATTAAAACCTTGAGCAGCAAATGCTGCTCGTAAAAAAGTTCAGCGTAGCCCTCTCAACATAAGAAGAATATCTCACTTTTAAGTTGTTTGTCAGGAGACGCCTCGCAACGATGGAAAATCCCGCAGCTTCTTTTGATAACAACGCCTAGTAACCGTAAGAAGGAATGGCGTGTAAGTGAGGCACTGACGTCAAACCAATCAGACTGGAATTGGTTGGTCTTAAATTGAAACAATTAAGTTGTTTCACTTTATAGTGGCGATAGTGGGGACACATTCAAGATATTAGCAAAGGTAACATGAATTTTATTATAGACACCTTGCAATGATTTACTAGAATTGTTCTGGGGGACAAAACAATGGATTTTTTTGTATAAGAAAAGACGGCCTATTGTTTTGTCCCCCAGAACAATTCCTCTAGGAAATCAATGCAAGGGGTCTATTATTGTTTATACAGTCACAGTTACGCACAAAAAAGAAAAAAAGAAAAGAAAAGAAAAGAAAGAAAAAAAAATCGGTTAAAGCTGTGCTCCTGGGTCATACATGGACTGTATAGCGGCTACCAGAGGCGCCTTCAAATTCTCTCAGTTCGACCCCGTCAAGCTGTACCACCGTTGTGCTTTGTGGTGGTGATTAGCGATGGCAAGTTTTTCGTTACCGACATTACCAGATGTCTGATTAATTTTACTGTCAAGCCTGTCTGGAACTTTCAAGTTTGGATGTATCCAGATTAACACATTTTACTTTTTATTTAGGTTAAACTTGCTTATAATAGTTATTGGCCTCGGGAATTGTATTATTGGTCAAATTCTGTTTATATATATTTATTGAAGTATCGATGTTAGAAATTGCAATAATATCCTTAGTTTAAGGCATGACATTTGGGCAACAAAAACATCCCTTTGGTAAATTAAACTGGAAAAACATTATCTCGGAATCAAATGGTCTGTCCCTACTTAGTAGCTAAAAAATGGATGTTACGAAGTCTGCCTTTTTCTTTTTCTTTTTCTTTCCTATAGGCTCTGATCATAGCGCCATCATTCCTTCCTTGAAAGATGGATCCTTTGTACTTTACACAAGTGGTATTTGCTTGTTTGTTAGCCTTCTTTAGTTGCCTTGGAAACACAACAGTCTGCATAGCGGTGAAGTGGTCTCCCCTGCCCAAGTGCCCTTACTATATAAATATGATGTTCTTTGAGCTATTTGCTATTATTTTTGGTCCTTTCACATACCTTGTGGCTGTGGTTGTCGATCCTGTCTGGTTGAGAGAAGGGACGTCCGCTTGCATTGGTGCTAAAGTTTTGCAGAAATTTTCCCTCATTGGTTCGGTGCTGTCTTTGCCGTTATTGGCGTGGTCTCACTGTCACAAGAGRGAGCTCCCTCAGAGAAAGATAGTTTTGGGGTGTTCTCTACTCTCCACGTGGATCCTGCCAGCTATCATGCTGCTGTGCGCTTATTTTATTCCAAAATCCCTCTTTCTAGACATCCCATGGTTCATGTGCTATAGATCAACTACGGCCACCAGCCTCCAAGGATTTTCATTGCTAGGCATCGTCACTGTTATCGTAGCAATAGCTGCACATTCGTTTTCCYTTTGGCTTGCTTTGTCGAGCATCATGTCTAAAAACACCTATTACATGCAGGATCAATGGAAGAGGCATAGGAGAGAAATAACCGTCAATGACCCAGAGTGTTCTACATTTCACATGTCGTACTCAGAGTCTACAGGCGTGTCCTTGGATAAAATGTTTAACGCCCTTCCTGGCAAGAAAAACTCTATTGGGCAAGTTTCTTTCTACAATGCAAACAGAAACTGGACAATAAACCACCAACTAGACTTCCCGAAGACCGGCGAGGGAAAGACAGAAAAGACACCCAAAACGAATAGCGATTCAAATGATGTCTTTTATGACAATGATCAAATTGAAACTGCCAAGGTTTCTTTGGAAGACGGTTTTGAGAACAAGAGGCACAGTACTGGGTGTGACAGTGTGTTTACAGATCCACCAGAGGCTGAACAGTCTACTGAACGGTCCTTTATCYACAAACCTTCAGCCGTAGAAAGCATAATATCAACGTCTTCCATTGATGAAAATTCTGCAAGAACCTCTTGTTCTGTTGAACACGCAGTTGCACCTAGCGCTGAATCGCCAAGGGAACATGCTACAGGTGAAACTGACACAACGTCAAACACGTCAAATGCGACTAATATTATTTCAGCTCATTATCCAGTAAAAATCAGCTCTACAGCAACAGCAGAAATCTCTTTCCCAAACGCATATTCCCGCATAAAACATCCTGCAATGTCACATTTCCCTTCAGCATCACCTTCAAGAAGCTCTAATTCCCCAACCAAGAATTGCAGGATAACGTCACTTTCTCATTCAGGAAACTACAGTATGCATTCTTCSTACTCTCCAGTCCTGACCACTTCACCATGGTACTACACAACAACTACATCGCCTTCCGGCCTGTCTCCATTAACCCCAGGCTTTGGTGATCTACGAAAGTACAAAAGAGCAAAATTCATTAGTCCCACAACTCTAGATTTTGCCAAGACTGATCGCACAGTAAACGAATTCAAAAAAATAGTCTTGGTAGTCACGTGCACGTCTTTGATTGGTTGGTTGCTGTTTGCTGTTGTTTTCATGCTGAGAAACGCAGGATTGGTCTTGCCAGATGAGGTATTGCGATTTTCCACAATGGCCCTGTTTGTCAAGTCAGCCATAACACCCATCCTGTACGGAGTTTGCTTTTCAAGGCATCGTTTGGCGTGCAAGAAGTATATCAAGTCCAAGCTGCCACTAAATCAAGAAGCAGAAAAAAAGTGTTCGTTCAACCTTAACGATGCAGCCGTTATTGGATCATACCTGGCTCAAGATGATTGTGGTGTTCAGTTAGAAAAATATTCTGTTCTACCTAAATAGATAGGTTAGTTTTTTAATGATTTGCATTTAGCCTGGGATAGGGGAGGGAGGGCACGAAAGCCAGAATCCTTTTTTCCGCCTAGGAACAGCAGCAAGGCTCAAGATGATTGTGGTCCGATGCCGGCTCTTGAGGTCTGTTTTAAATCTGCTCTTGTGACATGCCGTTTTATGACTAACAATTAGCAAGGGCGGATCCAGGGTTTTTTGAAGGGGGGGTCTCAGGGGTAAATTTTGTGGGCAAAGGAATCCCAGTCGCATTTTTACCACAGGAAGCCCATTTGACCTCAGGAATGACAGGGGGGTCGCGACCCCCCCGACCCTCCCCCTGGATCCGCCCTTGATTAGCTAACAATTCATCAAGTCTTTTCCAACAAGCTTATCAATTTTATATATTTATTAGTTTCATATTGGTTACATTTATAATAATTTTCATACAGATTCATTTGGTATTCAGTGTATATTGCATGGACCAGCCAGTGCAATCATTATTTTATCTCAATCACCTATATGTATACCATGGCAACTCTATACACCAAATTGAACAATCGTTGTCGGGGCTAAATCTAAAGGTAAACGTTAAATCAATGATCCTGAGACTAAAAGCTTTTCTGGGTAAACAGCGACTTTAGTGTATATTTTACTTTTGCAGCTATAGAACATAGATTCAAGAAGGTACCAAACAAAGCATTTTGTCACTCTTCTTGCATGTGTCTGTCTGCGAACACTCTTCAAATGCCCAGGATATCGACTTAGCTTCGCATGAGTTAACCTTTTCGAACCGACGTTTTTTCATTTTAGTGTAGGTACGTTTGAGTTGCCATTAAACCGACTTAACAACATGCTGCCATTTCAATAACTACCTATACTTTCATCCATTTTTAACAATAAATTCTTGTTCGGTTTCCTTTTTAAGGTGACTGCCTACTTTTGAACGTTCGATTTGAGCCCACGATGTGCGCACGCTCAAAAACCGCTGAAAAATCTACAAGATGTYATTTAAGAACCATACGCGTTTTGAGCTTCAACAGGGCAAAACCCTCAAATTTTGATATTTTTTGATAGCTCATTCGAAAAGACTTCTAAAAATCTAGGTTATATCAACATTTTAAGAAAAGGTTTCTATTTCTAACACATGAAAAAATAGATTTTTGTAGGGACTTGTTCGACTTTATGAGATTTCTTAGAGCACCGAAACTACAAAATATGACAAATCAATGTATCTCTTTGTCTTTTTGTCGAAAATATCCATGTATTATCGTAGAATGATTGACTAGCCTTCATTCGGCAATCATATAGTCTGCAAATAACTATTATCGTATGAATCTTAATTTTTTTCCTAATCACTTCCGATGGCGCAAGTTTTGCTCCAAAAGCTCGCGAGTAGGCTTCCATTAAATGCTGATTATCTCGAAAACAAACTCGGGACACCCAATTTTTCTTTCCAGATTCGGAATCAGCATCAAATTTCAATTCGAAAAATCGAAGTTTTAAAAAAAGTTTAAATTGTTTTCCAAAAGTAGCCAGTCACCTTAAGGTTTTACTACTTTCCATACGTGCTGATCACAAGCTAGTCAACAAGGCATTCAATGGTGCAGCACTTGCTGTTTTGTAATACAGAGTATTCCATTAAAAATGTACTTAGAGTTGTCTCTAATAAATAATCTTTGTCTGGGATCACAAGGCCTTATTCTTTATCAAAATAAGTTATTCTAAAGTTTTAGTTGGCTGTTCTCTGACATCTTGCTTGAATATTACATACAAAATTCTAACGGCTTTGGACATTAGGAAGAAACTGATCCTTCAGTACGGCTAGGCTTTTTCTATATGGCGGCCATTTTGTGTTTGAAAATCCCGGCGTTATTCTTATCCACAAGTTACTCAGTTTAGATGACATTCTACGTTTCTTGGCTTTCATCAGTCAACTCATTGAGAAGCGTATTTTTAGTCATAGTTATTTTTAGTTCTCGTAGATTTTGATTTACAGTCAACTGAAAACACATCTGGTCCGACTTCAAAACTGATCGTAGTCACATTAGAACAGCTTTGCATGTTTTCAAAGTAACAACTTCAGTGATTAATAGAATTAGCAGAAGCCAAACAAAGCATTATTAACACGGAATTCTTCGATTGCACGTTACGTCATCGCGGCCATGTTGGTGCCATTTAACAAAAGATTTCTCATTAGCATCCATTGTAAACGGCACCACAATGGCCGCCATGCCTTTGTCTTTTGACTCTCTTGGGAATGCTTGCAATCCATCAATAGTGTGACTAATTTTCTCTCAAATCAACATGGCCGCCGCTYTATGTGCATAGTGCAACCGCTGACTAGTATGATTGATAGCTCATAAAATCCATAACCAAACTTTTTACTTCCGGCGGTAGAGCAAATTTTTTGATTGGATAAAAATAAAAGACTTGGTGAAGCAAAACAAAGAATAATACACGTGGACTTAGCATGATCTGCTCTGTCCTTGATGTTTTTTGTTATTTTGTCCCAAGTTGTTGGTTTTTTTTTTTTTGGCAGTGGGCAAACCTCAAGCAACGAGGTCTTTCATAAATTATAAATATTATTAATATTAATGATATTAGTACTGAGTAATAAATAGACAAAAGTATATCTTACAGAGAGAAATTGATTACCGACATATAAGCACTATATGTATATATATATCTGTTTCAAAATATCTTGTAATTACTTTTAGCTCATAAGTTAAAGTACAATTTTACTCCTCATGTGCCTTTGGGGATTTCCTATATTTTCTGGCCATTACTGTATTTATGACCAGGCGGGTCTCACTGTCTGATATCGACTGTCTTCATTTGCTTAGATATTGCATTGTAGTGACTCTCTATGGTAACACCTGTTTATAGCAGACTCGTAGGACTGTGATGTTGGATTATACGCCGGCGAAGAGGTTAATTTGAATTGATTGTCATAAAAAAAACCAGTAAAATTGCCAGTGAAAATTTGCATCCGAAATAGCAGTAATGAAAGCAACTCCTTCTGGTTGGCATTAAGAATCTATCATCCAATCAGGAGACAAATGATCACGTGACGACAAGCTGAACATAACRACGCCGGGTAAATTTAAGCTTAACTCAAGTGTACCTCATTTCTTGACCATTCAATTCAACATGCAAACTCTATGGCTCATTTTTCACCTCTCTTTTCGATCCATATTTGGATTATCATTTTAGTATCCTAAAATCCTTCCTTTTTACACGGGTTTTGTACACAGAAAACTGATAGAAAAGCTCAAATCCATGGCKACGTTAATAAACCTCTTTAGCTTGGCCATTTCAGACCAGGCCACGTGTCATTCCCTATAATATTATTTCTTTGTTTAACAGTTGTGCATGAGAAGAAACATGAATATGGACACAACTCAAAACACTAAATTTAAAGTATCCTATTATAAAGAGAATGTCACGTGGTCTGAAACTGGGAAAAGATTAGGCCCAAGACAAAAAGGGTTCTATTCAATTTCCCTCTTCAGCGCTACCCATCACGTGGTATAAATCGTGTTGGATTATGTTACGGTCACCAAGAAGATTTCCAGACCAATGTACTGACTTTTGAACAAATTATTTACTCGGTTTGTTTAGTTAGCTCTCTATATACAAGCAAAATATCATTTTTCTAACTTGATTAAAGCTTTTACTCCTATTTAGAAAAGTAACTAAAGAAATAGACCTGAATTTTCTTTTTAAATTCAGTGAAGTTGTATGGGAATCCTAGAATGATGTCCGAACTTTTTGGTGACCGTAACACAATGCRACACGTTTTGGGCCAGCGCTCAAAGGTGAATTTAATATCTTTGTTTTATTCAACTGCTCCTTGACTGTAATATAAACTTGATTTAATTTGTTTACTTAAGTTGAATTTCCAAAATATGCTTTATTCATATGTTCCGCAATTCCTTTGCCATTCAAAGTGAAGTGTGTTTTAAAAAAGAATAAAGAAGCACTATAATTAATTTTCTTATAAATACTTATCTTGTGCCATAAAAATAGCTTAACATTCATAATCCACGTCCTCTGTTATTCTATCTCCCGCTGCTGTTTTTTCTGTCATCCTCTTGATAAAAGGCAAAATTTTGCTCATCATATCCGAGAATTTCTTATCAATTTCGTCCATCTTTAGCTCGAGTTTGTCGATTTTGTTCTCTATGACTGAAAGGTCAGGTACGCGTGCTGAGCTCGTTTTAGGATTCCTGTTCTTTGAGCGTAGAGGTTTCATCTCGATGTGGTTAAGATCRACGATACCAGGACTTGCTTCGGAACTCAAATACTCCTCAAAATTATCCTCCTAAAGAAAAGAAGCATTTGCGGCGGTCAGGAAAAGTTTTAAAGGCAAATGAATGGCAGATCCTGAGTTTCTCAAGGTGCTATACACAACTGGGATACAATTTTAGATACATTAATTACGAAAGAAAGCTTGCAAAAACACTTTCAAAAACGCTTAGTGATTGTAAAACAGTGTCGTAACTAATTTCTGATACTGATACTGATTGTAAATAGGGTCATCGGTGCGCTCTTTTAAAATTGTATTTTTCCCTCTGCCTTCAATAGCGCAGCACACAGATTCTAAAAATTGCCTTAACTCAGACGAACGATGCATTCCGTTTAACCATGTCGAGTGGTATGACGTCACCTGCGCACTGTGCGATAGAGCTGTTAAGTGTGTCGTAATTCGAACGAAAAACGACTCTCGGGTCCGAATTAAAACTTACTTCAAAAGACATTTTTCTGCGAGCGGTCCCACGTTTCTCTCCAGACTCAGTAAAAACGAATGTTTTAGGGTTCCTGTGGACAAGCGCAGAGATTGGAGCCGAATAAGCCTTCTCCTTACTAGGCGGATCCAATCTCCGCGCGCGTCCACAGGAATACCAAAACAYTTATTTTTACTGAGTCTGGAGAGAAAATGGGGACCGTTCGCAGTCTAGAATGTTCGCACCTTGATTCATTTTACAGTCATACAAAATCTATAACCTGCTAACATTACCTCTTCTACATTTCCAAGGTTGTAAGCTAGCTTCAAATGATGCGTAAAGTTTTCTCGGAAGTCTGAGTAGACCTTGAGCACAGCTAGTAAGTCCTGCCAATCGACCACGTGGATTTGACAATAAGTTTGAACCAATAGGCTTGCGTTAGCTTTAGCAGGGACGAATGTTGTGCACGCGAACGAGCCATATTCACAGCTAATCACGTCTCCTTTTCCTAAAATGTTAATGATTTGGGAACGAAGTTAGAACGATTCTTATGCTTCTTGTGTGTTGAGTAACAGACCTTGTCAACTTTCCCATGAAGCTGGAATAAGAGGTGAAATCGGTTGTTCTATTCTCAATTAAACAAAACCTAACCCAACAAAAGAGGTCCTTTACTATAGGGCAATAAAAACGCAGGTTCCGAAAGGTGAAGTCTYAAGAGTTTCAGGGAAAAGAACTTACCGAGGACAAGTATGATTTTCCCATCACGTATAACTTCCATAAAACCTTTAGCTATGAAATACAGCTTCTTTACTTCATCGCCTTGTTTTATGAGGTACTGTCCTGGAAGCAATCTCCGGATGTCGAAGCGCCTCGACAGAGCACGAAGACATCCCTCACTTGCACCGCGAAAAGCAGTACACTCTGCAAAAAGTTTCTTATGAAGATGTACACAGATATCGGCTTGTAGAGATTCTGGAAACCGATTTAGTACCTGAGATATCAATATTTATTAACCATGATTGATAATTATGAATATATTGCGTAGATAAAACTAACCATTTTCGACATTATGCGGAAATGACGTCATGTATAATTAATTCGGATCCAGACGTCACACTTATACTGTACACCGGTTAAATGGCTAGTCAAGCACATAACATTTAAGGGCTTCAGGGTACAATTAAACCCTTTTATCCTTATTTGGGCGTCATGTTTCCCCATTTCAGACCACGTGTCATTCGCCAGAGTATCACCACTCGCCAAGATTTTCGCTTAACGGTTGCACATGAGAAAATACACGGATACAGTTCAAGCAAAGCATTTATTCTAGAGAAAATGACACGTGGTCTGAAATGGGAAAACATTATGTCCCAGATAAAAGAGTCTATTTATACCCTGCAGCCTCGCTTTAATGCTTTAAACTTAACTAGCCAGTGAACCGGTTACAAAGAAGTGGTCTGTTATATAGCTATTTTCGGTATTTGAACCCTTATCGGATATGACACTTCTCATAGTCGAGGGGGCAAACACGTAGAACATTGATAAAGCATAACAGTGTTAAGTTCTCAAAGTTTTCTTCTGTCGCATATTCTTCCAACTACCAACAAATTCAATTTTGATGTGCTTCTCATTGAAAAGCGTAAAGTTATATAAAAAGACATCCTGACAGTTGTGCAGTCTATAAATTTTCAATAGTTTCCCCCTCAGCATCCCATAATGTTTTGATTAAAACAATATCGGTGAAAAGGTCTATTGATTGATCCGAGCTTTGATTCGCATCGCGCTTGATACTCACCTTATCGATGTCAACTCCTTTCGTATAAGACCACTCGTGTCTAAAGTATTCCTCCAAGTCGTCGCGAAGGTTGGCCGGTATTTTATAAAACCTTATAAAGTCTCGTACAATCCTCAGATTCCTGTGATGGCGAGAGGTCTGGGAATAGAGTCTTTGGATGATGGCTGTCATGTTACCAAATATGGATGCGTACATCAAAGCTATAGATGAAATAAGAAATTGAAATGAAACTGATGAATAAAAATAGATTATAGATRATAAGTTAACTTCAATTACATTTAATCTACGCATCTTAGAAAAATATCGTTTTCAATCTAATATTTTAGAGTAAACTCCACTTTAATGCTATACAGTGCACGCTCAAGGCCGGGGTCAAAAAGTGGGATTGTGGGTTGTACAAATTGCTATATTTTAATTGTATTTTTTTAATGAAAAAAATAAAATAAAATAAAATAAAATAAAGCTTTCGCACTAATTTGGGACACTTTTCACTCACACACACTACCACTACATTCAATGTTCTATGCGCACAACGCTCAACTCACATGTTGATTTGCATTAAATATTCAAGGCCAAGTAGCGTTTAACTAATTCCAAACCAAATATACCAAAATACAGCAATTTTTACAACCTATGTTCCAACTTTTTGATCCCTTGAGCAGTAGCGCGGAACCTTTGATTCATGTATACATATTAACTGAAATGAAAGATTAATTAACTGGCCAATCACAGTGAAATAGTTTTGCATACAGAACCCAACAATCAATTAAAAATTCTACTGTGAATCAGCGTAGTCCGGACGAATTATTTGCGACATCCGCCGATCAGAGAACTATTCACCCCCTCGAAGAGCGTTAAAACTGAACTTACCGCCAACAATCATAACACAAATAGAGAAAACTTTCTCTGCATTGGTATTCGGTGAAATATTTCCAAACCCAACACTAGATAAACTGGTCATGGTAAAATAAAGAGCTGTGACGTAGCGTGTCTCGGCGCTAGGGCTTTCACCAGTGACACTTGTATTACACGAGCCGCTGATCTGACGAGAGAGCCTGGTAATCCAACCATAATCATATTTCCCATACTCTGCTTCACCAATAGCATGCCAGATACATGCTAGCCAATGAGCGACGAGTAGGAATAAGCATGTTAGTAATATGATGACGGCTTGACCATACTCGGAGTATCGGTCGAGTTTTCGCACCACTCGGACTAATCGAAGAAGTCGAGCTGTTTTGAGCAAACCCATTAGTGTTGTGGCCTGTGGGAATAAGAGAGACAAACTAAAATATATAAGAGCAGAGCAGGGCGCGCAGGGCAGGGCAGGGCAGGGCAGGGCAGGTATTGAAAACCTATTACGCTTTTGAGTCTATCAACGTAAATTTTATCAGCTATTAATAATTATTTTTTATTAATTATTTTGTATTTATTTATTAATTATTTACTTATTTTATTCATATATGTTTTATCTTAAAAGTAATATTTGTTTTCATCTTGAAAAAGACTTTCAAATTGCATACCCCTTCTTTTTCTGTGTCAATCATAAATTCAAAGGGTATGGCAGATAGTAGATCAATCATAAACCAGCTCCTGAAGTAATGCCATGCAATTCTCTTTGGCTGAGTGACCAGTTCCTCCGTTCCCTCGTTGATGTAAGTAGACCTGAAGTTAATAGGGATATCTACGACAAAAATAAGATCCACGCATAGATTACAAACTGCCAGGGGGGAGCCATTCAGTAACGCTGAGAATCGATCCGGGGGATGCTTTCTGGAGCGTATTTCGTCGGGAAGTAGGAATGCGGCGGAATATGGTATTTCGATTGCTGTGTACATGACAAGGATAAGAATGAACCAGTCCCATGCAGCTTTGAAGATGGCGTCATGGCGGATGATACATCCGTTGGTAAACGCTCTGTTCGGAGCGTTGTTCCCTAGTGAAGTCATGACAACCTGTAGGAGAGACAGAAGGAAAAAAATAAGAAATACAGTCGACTCTCTTTGAACGACCACTCTCGTAAGCGACCATCTCCCGTAAGCGACCATTTTTTGAAATTCTCGTTTTTAGTGTTCCCTATATAAACTCTGTAAAAAAACTCTCTCGTAAGCGACCACTCTCGTAAGCGACCGCGACCACTACCATTGGGGTTTAAATTTTGGAATTTTTCATTGTTTTTCCTCTCCCGTAAGCGACCACTCAAGAGCAAGTCAATGCAGATCCTTTAACAATGAAAAAACTGGGACGGGTTGGCATTGCAGTGCATTGTGGAACTGTTTCATCGGACGAAATACTCGCCATCTTGGAAATATACCCCCTAAAACAGGCCCACAATGCTAGTGGTACTCAGATAGATCGTCTATGATCAATTACCAAGCTATTAGCCGCACTTTTGGAGCAGTTTAAGTAATTGTGCTTTTAAAAGGTTGGAAGTAAAATTCTCTTAATTGAAGCATAGCTAATGGAGCGGAATGGTTGGGAAATTGTTTTTGTTCGTCTTTATCCATTGTTATATGACGTTGACAGTGCACAGAGAAGGAAAAGTTGCTCCATTTGTTCACAGTATTCAGGAATATAGAAGTTTTTAATCCTAAAAAACATTCTAAAATRCTTATTATTTGTTTACAAATTGTTTAATGAAAAGGAAATTGCCTTTTTTCATGCTTTCTTATTTATCATTCACTATAATTGAAGTCATAACACGCGACTGCCTTCCCGGACTACTTATACCAGTTCTTTTCACTTTTTAGAAATATTATATATCTAACAGTCGTTTTGAACAAAAGTAGAAGGAAAATCTTTATTTGAAACCATCAATCATGCAAGAAATATACTAACTTATGCAGTGCGGGCTCGGAAACAAATCCAACACCACCTGACTATTTTTTGTTTTGTTTTGTTTTGTTTTTTTGACCCCCCGTATAAGCTCTAGTGATTAGAGAATTTTAGATTTACGTTCACGGCAAACGTGAAACATCAGTCTGACCAGTAAGAAATTCTTTTAAATTACTTAAGAAGAATCCGGCGCAAAAAAGTCCAAGTAGTAGAAAAACAAAAGAGTATTTGCGCTTGGTGAGAAGGTTTGTAAAAGGTAAAGAAAAATACAGGAAAACTATGAAAACGTGGTCAAGTTTGCCGTTTGCGGGGAGAAAAAAAAGTCAATCTAAAACTCTCTATTATTGAAAATCCTGTAGCGGTCAATTAATATATATTGTTAGGTTTTTTTTTTCTCTCGTACCGTTTGTTGTGATCCCTTCGTAGTCTCTTGTGTATTCGTTATGTTAATTTCTGCTTAAAGTCAGCCTTCGTTCGTAAATTTAATCAGTTACAGTTCAAGTCATAGTCAGTTACTGAGTGCAAGTTATTTTTCGCCTACGTATGTAAGTATTTCTCTTAGTTTTCCAGTTCAAGTTTGTTCGTCTTCTTCCGTCTTCTAATTGTATTTTATGTTTAATTTGTTCTAGTTGGATCGTTTTATAGTAAATAAATACGTATGCCAAATTAGCGAAATCCCAGTAAAGTATTTGAAGTTAAAGTAGTTTTATCATTTCCTCATAGTTATACCAAATTTTGCAACTATTAAACAAAAAATTGATAGAAGCATTTGATAGAGTACTAGTCATGCAAGAAAACGTACAATTGGTGGTTTTACCTCACTATGAATATACATATATTTTCCCAAAATAACCTGATCTTAAATCTGTATGTTTTACTGCCTTTTTGAAGCAACATTATATACGAGCGCTGAAGCAACTTTATAGCGGTTTTCAACTCATAAAGAATTGTTGTATCAATATATCTAGATTTGCATAACCAGTGAAACTTAATATTCATATTTGGTAATGAGACACTTTTTTTTCTCCGTTTAAAAACAAACCGCTATCGCAATTACGGATATGCACTATTTGAAATACTGGATTACTTTGAAAGCTATCGGAAATTGATAAATGTAATATTTATTTCCTTGAATTGAAAACTCAAAATGTATGGATATGAACTCATAGGATTCACTAGTTAGAATCTAATCTACAACATTTCATGATAAGAACTACATGAAAATCTACGTCCGTATCTTCGAATATCCATAACTAAATTTGATCAACAACATGCAACACTAGCCGCAGAAGAGAAACCAACTGATCTAGCGATAGAAATATTCCGGTTATAAATCATGGACTATTTCGTATTTATCTTAAAAGAAATCGTTATATATCAGCCCGTTTGGACAATGAGAAATTGATTATAGGAATATGTTAGAGTCTGCATTTTCAGTTGACGAATCTATATGTTACAATATATTATAGGTATTATAGGTATCATTATACATATAGGTAATAGTCAAGACTTCCCATTACCAATGCCAGGATCACTCTCCACCAACCTGAACAGATCATCAACCGCTCGCTCACCTTCCCTCCCCTCCCCTCCTAAAAACTATATGACAGGCACCCAAGTACCACTTGTCTACGCTTACGTGGTTAACAGCGTTTTTGTTTGGAATTCACCATTTTCCATACATCGGTTCACTGGTCAAACACAAAGCATTCAGTCGAGGTTGCAAGGTTCAAATTTGAACAATCCTTTGAAAGTACCTTGGCGCCTCGCTTGAGCGCTTTGTATTTGAGCAGTGAACAAATGTATGGAAAATGGTGAATAAGCCTTTTCATAGTTTAAGAATCGATTCCACTGCGCATGCGATTTTATCCCGAATTTCTACTTTCTTTTGTCTAAACCTTCTTTTGTTCTTAATTAAACAAAAGAAGGTGAGAAATTCGGGATAAAATCGCATGCGCAGTGGAATAGATTCTTAAACTATGAAAAGGCTTATTCACCCGCAGATCATCAATGGCTCCCCTCCCCTCCCCTCCCCTCCCGTCATAAAAACCACATGCAATTTGTGTGTTCTTAGATGTTTCAGCTTCGTTTCCATCGCTAAACAGGTGTTAATCCAGAATGGGTTTGTGTTTCACGGTAAAAACTAAGACTCGAGTGAAGCTCTCGATCCATTAACCGCGTCTTGTTTGAGTGACGTTCACCACTTAGGGTTATAGTTTGATTAGCGCGACACACTGAGACTTCGGTCTTTGAAAATGAATCCATTTGAAGCATAAAAACCACTGGCGTCTAAGAGCACACTGTAGTATTATTCTCAACCGCCTTTTTTTGTATCTGTTGTCAACAGCAAAGCCGTATATATTAGAAAAATAATGAACCTGATTTACTAATAAATGTTCTAAGCTTTCGGACGATCGTTAATCATCAGAGGATAAATGGAAATGCTTTCAAAATATAAATCAATATAAACAAACTATCGAAATAAACGTTTCAATGAGCCAATCCGTACGTGCTCTTCGCCTGAGATAACTAGACTAATAGACTACCTCGCCTGTTGGTCTCATGCAAGCATAAGTGTCTTCCTAAAAATTGCTACGCATCACATCTTTATAATAATAATAATAATAATAATAATAATAATAACTTTATTTATAAAGAACATTAATCCATAAGACAATAAATTATAGCTAGTCATGACTATATTACTTGATGACGATGTAAGAGTACGTCTAGGTTTATAGATATTAACTAGATCAGATATATCCTGGAGCCTGTCCATTAAGGGCCTTATATGTTAATATCTTATATTAATCCTCTGTTCGACTGGTAGCCAATGTAAATCATATAAAATAGGTCTTATATATTCATACGCGTGCGAATAAGGGTTACTATACGAGCAGATTAATTCTGAACCTTCTGTAAACGTTCGATAGCATAGTCTGGTAGTCCAAATAAGAAATGAGTGCATGGACTAAYGTTTCTGCAGACTTGCGAGTAAGATATTTTCTTTTGCAAATGTTCGTGACATGCTGGTCCATATGGTTATAATAGAAGCTTTTTTTATTTCAAACAAGGACGCCATGACCCTTTTTGCTGCGAACGAGGAATTTAGTTAATAACATCCAAAATATCATGCTAGAAAATAGGGTCGTTTCATACGTGTTTGATTCCGAATCAATCACATTAAGCCCTCGGGATGTGATATGCAGAAATAAGTTGTTTTTAATGTTCAAAAATTAATTCTAGTTTTCATCTCTAYCCTACTTTAATTTCGTTTTACGCCTTTGGTGTCGATTTAGTCTTCTGATCTGACGCATGCGCTTTAGACTTTTCTTTTCTTATTCGCTCGCAATTCATCTCAGCCAACGAAGTGTTCGCACTTTGCTTCACCGCTTCCGTGAATATTAGCTTGGCCCAATGCTATCAATCTTAGCGGGATTTCTTCAAGCCGAAAGTCCATATGGTACGGTCTCTCTTTTGATCGAGTTTTTTTTTATTAGCCGGGCTCTCAGACGTTACGGTAGTCAAGAATCGTGCTATCTTGCTCACTTCGGTTTTCTACAATTTCTTTCTTTCTGTCTTTCTTTCTTTCTGTCTTTCTTTCTGTCTGTCTTTCTTTCTTTCTTTCTTTATCTTTACTTACTCTTACTCTCGTATCATACTCAATTATTTTTGTCTTATTTTCTCATTTATTTGGTCTTTATGTTCTTTCAATTATTT